ATGAGAACGATTGTTTTTTTTAAATTAGATTAATCATCCCACAAGAGAATACGAAGTTATCCCACTATTCTGCATTTTTGAAAGAAAAGTTATTTTAAAGCYTCCAAATTGTCGGACAATACCATCCGCGAGTGCATTAATCGATCCGTGGAAAGCTTTCAAAGCAAGAACTAAGTGTTAATGTCCACTGCAATTGTTTTCTTTATTTCTTTCTTCTAGTGGCTTTTAAACCAAAAAAGCTTCTATTCTTTGTCGTATTTCAGTTATTAAGGAGACCCAAGAAAAGATCCACACAGTTTGATATAGAATGTCAAGTGAAGATAGTATATYAGAGCTAAGCAATGGCGACTATGAATGTAACAAACACGACAAGCCCGTCGAGTTTTTCAGGGATCCGCATCTGTAAGGATATTGATGAGTTGAAGGATCCCGAAAAGGCAACTCCTGCTTCGCTAGCAGCGTCCTTCTCCGTTGTGGCTGCAAGCACCTTGACTTGTCCATTGACTATCTTTGTCAACACTTTGATTCTTCTGGCGTTTTATACCAAGCCAACTCTCCGAACGCAGTCCAACGTTCTTCTCGGGGCCATGACGGTGAATAATCTGGTGTACGGTGTGATTGGTTGTCCACTGTTTATTGCCAAAGAAATCACGTATCTAATGAGACGTCAGCAAAACTGCTATTTGAATTTTATCATGTTTAACGCTGCATCCCCGGTTTGGGCCGTTCTCCTTACAGCAATAAACTGTGAGCGCTTCCTTGGCCTTCAGTTCACAATTTGGCACCGAGTCCACGTAACCAAACGTCGGCTCACATTTGTTGCTGTCGTTTCGTTTGTTGTTGCCCTAAGTACTACGATTCTGCGAAGTGTTGTGGAGGAAGCGAGAGGTTTGATAATGGTTTTCCTCGTCGCGTGTACCGTATCAACTTTCATTTTTGCTGTCCTAATCTGGCGTGTAATTCGTCGACGAAATCGAGAGGTTCAAGCCCAGCAGCAAGGACAACCAAACGCTTCAGYGACTTGCTCGAGATCCGAAACAAAAGCTGGAAAGATTGCCACATATCTTGCCTTGTCGTTTTTCTTCACCAGGGTGTTCCCTCTCGTAATGGTGGCATCTATGATAACAAAAAAAGACTGGATGAACATAGCAGAACCATTAACACTAGGAATTGCTTCCATGGACTTTCTTATAAATCCGCTGATTTACGGCCTCATGAACCAGAACATCAAAAAGGCGWGTTTGAAAATAATCAAATGCAACTGAACTTTGAAAGAGGGCAAAACAGAAACAAGTTTCAAGATGAAAAGATGAAAAGCTTGAACTTATGAAAACTTGAACTTATGAAAACTGAATGAAATCTAAGTGTTAAGTAAAGAAGTTATGTAGTAAAATCAAAATTTCGTAGCTAGAGTTTGTGGTATTGTAACAATCATAATCATTTAATAATCTTAATCTGTTGTCATATGCCTTATAACGTTAAAAATCTTATCGTCCTTTTTTACTGGGGTATCAYTTGATCGATAAATCAAACAGCTTTTCCTTGCTCCGTTCAGTAATAAAGCACGCAGGAAGTGGATTAAGCACGAAAGAAGCGTAAGGAGAAGTTCAAGMCAGTGTAAACTTGGAGCCTTCATTTTACGTGAAATTGCATTCCAATTATGCACAAGATATGTAATTTTGAATTCATCCCATCGTTAGATTTTATTCTTTGCTTTAAAGTTCGGTATTATAGAGCATTCGAAAAACGAAATAAAAAAGGGGGTGCCCGACTTTGTTTCAAGAGCTATGAGAGATTAATGAAGTGTTCATGATATTTTGCKTATCAAAACATTGGAATGACGTCATCACGATGGGCGCACGCGCATTATATTCATGCGTAGACAGGATGCGCGCGAACAATGCCCATGAACATCTTAATGGAAGGAAATTCGACAGACAATAGTCCTAACTAATCTTAACTGACTACTTAAGCACA